TATTCAACTTTTTTATAAATTTTATATCAATTTCTGATTTTGTATCTTCATAAATGTTATTCTTCATAAAATAGGAAAATAATGAAAATAAATCTATTTATTTAATATTTATCTTGGTAACAATTAAAGAATTTAGTTTTGACTGAAATTATATAGGCTATATTTTACATAGTTTCAGAATTTGTTCAAAAAACTCAGAAAATTAAAATTAGAAAATCAATTCCATTTAAATATTATTTATTCGATTCCTGTTCTTTTTAAGTTTTATTAATTTTCTTATTTATTCTTTGTTGTCTTCTGTAACAAGTATCACAAATATAGTGTTCAGGTTTTGAATTACGGTGCCATTGTGATGTTTTTGTTGCTCCGCAGTTTAGACATTTTCGATCTTTCGTGATTCGCTAATATATTTAATAAATAAGAGTTGAAACTAGTTCTCAGATAAAAATTTTTAAAGCTATTTTTCTAATTTTCGGCGATCTGATATTGTCCAGGGTTACTTTCAACTAATTTGTTTTATTTTGCCTAGGTTAGTTTTAATGTTACATATATTGGTTAGTAACAAGTATCACACAGACAAGTATCACAGTAACAAGTATCACACACAATTCAATTTTTTATTTTTCTACATTAAAACTAACCAATATTTCTTTCCCACAAGTGGAAAAAGAAATGTTCTTGTTGATACGTAGGAAAGGAAAATATTTAAATTCGCATACATACTTAAATAAGATCACTAATAATCTCATATAAACATTTAAAACTACTCATATACTTTTATAAAATCATTGTTAGTTTTAATATGAATAATGTAAACCATATTAGTTTGATAAAAACTTACTTCTGGTCTCATTTTGTCATCATATATTTTATACATGTGACATAGTTTGCATAAATAATGTTCTTCTAAATATCTATACCAATTTTTGGAAATTGTAAATCTACAATTGAAACAGTTTCGTTTATTTTCTTCAAATATTCCACCTATGATAATAAAGAATAAAATTTATATTGTATAGGCATATAAACTAATAAAAAATTAAAAAAAACTATTTACTTATTTTATTTCCGATTTCAATAATTCTGCTTTCGAATTCTTTCGGATATTCAACTTTTTGTTTTGCTAACAATTCAATTTTATATCCAATTAAATTATTTTCCGACCAATAACTTGATAAAAGTTTGTCCTTGTAATTTTTGACATTCTCTTCAATCGAGTTAAAATTATTTTCACTCATGTTAAATATTGAAGTTTCGTAACAATTATCATTTTTAATAAATTTACTATTTTGGATTACCTTAAATTTGAACAAATTAGAGTAATTTAGCTCGGCCGCTTCCAATTTTTTTGGTATTATTTTTTCTTTAATAGCTAGATGTATCACTATTGAATAGGAATTTTATTAATAAAAATATACCATTTTTTCAAACCCAGGCAGAAAATTTTGAATTATTTCATTATTAGTAATTTCAATCAAAATTTTCTTTTTTAATTGAACAGATGGAATATATTCTGATCTGTCACTTATTTCAACTTCAAACATATGTTTATCTAGATTTAAGTCAATTGAACGCAAATATCCTTCTATATTTTTATTAAAGCTATCATGCTGATTATTATTCTTTTCAATTACTTTGAACACAAAACGATCCTTTATTTCAACATTTTTTAAATAGTTAAATTCTCTTTTTTCTTCCCAATCATCTTTGATTTTCACTTCAACGTGAATTAGTTTCCCGGTGCATTGAATTTTCAGAAATATGATTAAATATATGAAAATTATAAAATTAAATTTAATCATCTAAAATTTGAAAAATGTATTTATAACATGAAAGTAATATTAGAACGTGTGTGGTAGTAGCGAGAAAAAATTCCTCCTTACAAGGGTAACCTTGAGTTGTGGGTTAGTTACTCAGGTATTAGAACTGCGGGTAAAATTTAAACACTCATCCGTTATGGTTAAATCTTAGCCGCAGCTATTTAAAATTATTTAAACAATCCACGTTCAATCTAAATTAATTAATAGCTATACAATTGAACGGAAATATAACAAACTTGTTACTGAAACACTAAACTATCTTTATTAATACATATATAAAATTGAATATATACAGTTGCTTTTACTAAAATTTAATTTTAATAAATAACAAAAATAATTTTTTTTAAATTTTTAATGAATTTAAAAATAAATAAGGTAACATTTTAGGTATTAAATAAATACACATAGATGCGCACATCAATCAAAGCACAAATTATCGAATAATTAAAACCCATGACAATATACTTAAAGTGCAATTTTTAATTTCGAAAGGTCGCCTAACTAAAAAATAAATAAATAATAAAGCGGTATATTTTAAAATTTCTTTAATGTTTATCAAGTAAAAATGTTAAATTACTTTAACAATTTTGAAAGAAGCTGTTTGTTTACTGAATTAAAATATTGAGGATTTTAAACATATTTTAATAAAATATTGTAATTATTTTTATCGAATATAATTAAAACAGAATATCTGAACACAGCAAGTAAGAGATTTATTTGTAAATTTGTTTGTTTTATAAATTAAATAGCATTTACGATTTTAGTTATCTATTTTCACCCGAATTTTTGACTTTTTAAAGTTATATTTCATCTGGCAATTTATTGTAGTAGGTATTATTCTTCTTAAAAAATTTTATCGGTCTTCTACTTTTCTTTTTTGTTGTAAAAAGTACATTTTTTCTTTAGACATATTCGAGAAATTTTATTAAAATATGTTTAAAATCCTCAATATTTTTATTCAGTAAACAAACAGCTTCTTTCAAAATTGTTAAAGACTTTATCATTTTTACTTGATAAACATTAAAAAATTTTGAAATATACCGCTTTATTATTGTTTTAATTTTTTACTTAAACGACCTTTCGAAATTAATGCACTTTAAATATATTACCATGTGTTTTGATTATTCGATAATTTGTGCTTTAATTGATGTGCGCATTATGTGTAGTTATTTAATACCTAAAATGTTACTTTATTTATTTTTAAATTCATTTAAAAATTTAAAAAATTTGTTTTTGATATTTATAAAATTTTTTAATAAATATTTTTGTTATTTATTAAAAGCAACATATATTCAATTTCAGGTGTGTATTAATCAAAATAGTTCAATATTTCAGTATTAAATTTGTTATATTTTTGTTCTATTGTATAGCTATTAATTAATTAGGTGGGGAAAATTAATAGCAAATTTATGATTAAAAAGCTTGACATTGTCTTTGCTTCCTTGAATGTTAATCCTTAGTATTAAACGACTTGAGCCTACAGTAACGAAAAACCTTATTAGTTTTTTGTGTTTTTGATTGACCTTGCTTATTATTAATCCTTAGCATTATTACTACCAGGGGGAGAGAATCCAAAACTTATTAAATTATTAAAAATTAATTTTCCACCAAAGTAGTCGAACCACCATCCTTCAGCGTCTAGGCGTACACACTATCCATTAGGCCGCTTCTGAGTCGTAATAGCTTGCTGTAATTGGAAAATTCATTCCACTACGTAGCAGCACAAACACGCAAAAATCATCTAAAGTAGATGTTAGTGGAATAACAAAATAGTTCCAGCCTTATTTAAATTGTGCCATTTAATTAATCCCATCTCACTTCTTTTTAAGCAAATTGCCTAATGGTACTCTATTCGGTAATAGTTTGGAATTTGCCCCTCTTTTTTCATCGTTTCCCTGAACATTTTGAGCTTTTTTTGTATTATACTTAATTTATCATATATCATTCGAAAGATTATCATTCGATGATTGGCCAGATCTGATAATTCTTAACAAAATTATGAAGCCAAATCCCTATTGGAAAGACTTTATGTGATAATCCAAGGGGATAAAATAAGCGGTCATAACTTTGTTCACTTAAGTCATTTTTCGTTAATTTTAATGTCATTCGACTCAGCTCGAGAGCTCTTTCGAATGATATATATATTGCCATAAAACGAGAAAAAACCAAGAAAAAATAGAAAGGAAAAAAGGGGGGCGAATTCCAAACTATTACCCTCTATTCTAATGCATTTCACTAACAATCGCTATATCAAATAATTGTACTTATAAAAGACTTTAATACTTCAATTTTTTACTTTAATTTTTCCTTTCTTGTTCGGGCTCACTCTGAACTTTAAATACAATATGGCCTAAAAATCTATAAACAGTCACTTATCGAAACAGAATAACAATCTCAAAAAACGCAAAACGCAACGCAAGGTCAAAATTTAACGCAAATAACGCAAAAAGCAAGAGCGCAACACTAAGTGAAAATTTTTTAATAGAGTATTAATCATTTTTTAGTTAAAAATTAAAGTAATACTATAAGTGAGCGAGTTCTACTCGATTTTGTGATACATGTAAGTTGGATAGGTAATTTTTTGAGGCCTTTCCATGATAGAAACTTGGTAATTAAATACTTAACTTTTAAATCTAAGTATCTTCATCATATCCTCGTAGTCTCTCGATATCCTACTTAATGCTCACAATCTATTAATATGTTATTGAGATTGATTGATTTCCATATATCCTACAAAATCCCCAATATCTTTTTAACTCGCATTAATAAAGTAGATGACCGATATTCTTCTACTCCTCCAGGTCAACTGATAACCACTCCTAGTCCAACATTTTTAGCGCCACAGGCGAAAATTTTAAATATTTTGGAAAAATAAGAAGCTAAATTTCTCCAATTTTGTCCACAGATTTGGTATATTTTTTGCATTTTTTTGCATTAATTTCGTCGAAAAAACGTAAAACGCAACGCAAGGCCAAAATTTAACGCAAATAACGCAAAACGCAATGGGCTTACCCGTGATTGGAAGCCTTGAAAGTTCTTCCGAATCACCATAAATTGATGAGGAAGTTCTATCATTTTTTCAGCTTTGAATAGAGGTTTTAAAACAGCTTCAGGCGTACATTTAAATCTACAAAAGTGGATTGAATAATCAATAAATATATTTTCAAAATTAAATTTCAGATGATTAAATTGATTATTGCTTTTTCCTTGTATTTAATTATTCTATTGAATATTAAATGTGATGGGAGGAAAGTTAGTATTTCATTAAAAATCAAAGACGATTGGAAAGAAAAAAGAGAATTTATTTATTTAAAAAATGTTAAATTAGAAGAGCGTTTTGTATTGGAAAAAATTAAAAAACATATTAATCAGTATGACACTAGCTATATTTATAATATTGAGGGGTTTTTGCGCCGATTTGATGTAAACCATCAAGGAAATATTTTTATTGTTGAGATAAATCATAGATCAGAATATGCTGAAGAATTAAAAAGAAGAATCTTGATTAAGATTGTCAATAATAAAATTTTTTACGATATTCATCCTGGATTTGAGAAACAGGTATTTTTGCTTGATTACTTGAGTATAAATTCTGAAAATTATAAGAATAATAAACTATGTTACTAATGTAGTCTCTCTGTTTCCTAATTTAGTCTCCCGTTATTTGGATGAGGAGCAAATCATGGAATACCAAATCACAAAACTGACAAGTCAAGGAAAAGCCAAATCAAGAAAAGGATATACAGGGTACGGCAAATTTGGGACTGAATATTTGTATAAAACGATCATCTGTCTATGGGTCTTCTCCACAGGCAGAAGACATTGTCCGGTCTAGTTCTGTTAAGCTTTTAGTAAAATTTTTTCCTTGTGGGTCTTCTGTCTTTGGTCTGTCGGTCCTCTCTCTTTGGGTCTTCTTTCTGTGGGTCTTCTGCCACTACGCCATTTTTTAAAAATATTCATATTTTTCAAAAAGATTCCGATGTTTTATATATTTTGTGTTTTGGTTATTTCGTGAGTTAGTCGTTCCTTGATTTAGTAATTCGGTGACTTGTCGTTCCTTGTCTTGTTCGTTTCTTGAGTTAGCCCGACACGCCCTTATTTAGGCTAGGTTGTTCTTTCTTTCTATGCGTCAATCATTCAATTTTAACAAGAATGTAAGTTGAGAAGGAAAATTAAAAAGCAATGAATAACTGAGACTTAAATTAGGAGTGATGACAAAATATCCAAGAAGTATTCATTATTTAGTAACTAATCTTAATATTAATTTATTCATAAAAGATGATCAGATTTACTGAATTTATTAAGAAGAAGAATAAATATTATGAAACTTCTATATTAGATAAGAGTTTAGAAAATAATACAAAAATAAATAAAAAAGAATTATTAAAAGAAAATCTAGAAAATTACAAAAACAAACTTTTGTCAAGTTATTGGACGGAAATTAATTTAATTGGATATAAAATTGAATTATTAGAAAAACAAAAAGTTGAATATCCGAAGGAATTAAAAAGCAAAATTATTGACAATGAAAATAAAATAAGTAAATACAAATTTTATGTTATTCGACAGGATAATTATATCCCCGCTGTCATATCAAGCTGAAAACGTTTCTAGTAAATAACAATTATTTTAATTTTATAGGTGTAACTACTGAAAAAAAGAAACGAGATTGTTTCAATTGTGGTGTTAAACAAACTAAATATCGGTGGCATAAATATATCAAAGAACAATATTTGTGTCAAACCTGTGGTGATTATAATAGAAAATTTGCAAAGCTTAGACATAAAAGCTTGTTTAATAAGACTAAAAAGGTTTTCTATTATTTGATATTTAAGATCGAATTCCTTTGATTACATGACGAATAAATTCTTAATCACATTCTATATTTCAACCTGAACCAGCCAAATTCCTTGATTTTTTGAAATATATATCGGAGATATCAAGGATTTGGATATTAGAAACTATGCGTTTGTACAGCTACTTTTTTTGCTTATCGTTTCTCCTTTTTCAAAAATATTAAAAATTTACAAGGAAAATAAGTATAGGATAAATGTCCAGTTGACTCCCTACATGTCCGCAAAGAGAATCACACTTCTCTTCCCTTCCTTCGCATTTTTGGCTTTAGGAAAAATGCCCGTTTATTTTTGCTTTTCTAAGAAAGGCAGTGAAAAGAAATTGTAATAACAAAGTGAAAACAAATGTTTTTTTATAAATGATCAAACAACATAAATTTGGGATAACATTCTCAAATATATTTCAAAGGATCAGTGGGATAACAGCTTTAATCGGGTTATAACAGCATAACCTAATTGATCAAGACTAAAGGATGAATTTTTCTTGAAGCAGATGATTAAGTTAACTATGTGCGGCGCTAAATAATGGAAAAATAAAGTAAAATTTTCGCCCACTGTATTAAATTTTGTAACTGACCCGAACCGATACCAGGGCTTTTTTCGAACAGAACCCCGATCCGAAACCTGACAAGACATCCTTGGTGCCATTCATCGCTATTTACAGTAGTTTAATTAATTTTATTATTACTCCCCTTTTTTCTTAAGTCAAAGCGGCGAGAAAAATGAGCGAAAATTTTTCATTTAAGCGGGCAATTTTCCTAACGCAATAATGCAAAGAAAGGGAAGAAAAGTGTGCATTTTCTTTGCGGACATGTTGGGAGTCAACTGGACATTTACCTAAGTATAGGATTAAATTAACGTATATTCTCTGATTGGTCGGTCAATTCAGAGAATATACGACAGACCGCCGAGACGAATAGAATGGTATGGGTCTTATATCGAAATCTTTCCACCTGTATACAATACTACAGCCAGATTTTTAAATAAACATTCTAAAAGAAAGAAAACTTTTATAATGTCTAAGATACTTTAATAAATACTATTTAATAAATATTTTAGAGAATAACAACTGATCGAAATTGTTATATTTGCGGTGCAACAAAGACATCAAAATGGCACCGTCATTCAAAACCTGAACACTATATTTGTGATACTTGTTATAGAAGACATCAAAAAATGAGGAAAACAAATTAAAATTCAACAAAACTCTATTTGATTTTAGCACATAAAATCGATGAAAAATTATGGAAATTATATTTACGTATATATATATATATGTATATAATACATATAAATACAAAAAACAGTATTAAATTAAACACTTTCTGCATTCTAAATAATTTTTTAATTGTTTCTTCAGCACAACAATATATTGATTACTTTTAAAGTTTTCAAATAAACTATGGTGCATTATTTTTTTATTTAATTTTTCACACTCTCTGATAATAAAAAATGAGAAATAAAAGAAATTATAACCAAATAATTAAACATGCTAAAAATTATTAAAGAGTTTTAAATATTAAATAAACACAAAAATTTTGTCCAAAATAATCTTATAATGCCCTCATCCTAAAAAGTTCAATATTAACAGAATTTACTTTTTTTGTATAAGTAATTTTTCATTTTTTTGCTATCCTTTTCTTCTTTATTTTTGTTTATTTTTATTAGCCTAAATAAAATTTATTCTGAATTTCACAGAACTCTATTTCATTTGGTTATTTTAGACTAATAAATATCCCATCGAGGTGGCTCTTTAAACAATTTCAATTCTAGTATTCTACGGCTAAGGCTTGATTTTTACAATTGAAAGCTATACATATATTAAATTTTGTTAAATTTTAATCATTAATTTACTTAGACATATATAAACTAAAATTAAACTTGGTTTAAATTAAAAATTTAAAGAGACAATTAGAATTTTTGATTTATCATCAAAATTTACTTTTTTTACTGGGATAACTTTTCAAAATTGTTAAAATAATTTAATTATTTCTTAATAATAAATTAAATTGATTTTAATATTAATATAAAGTTATTAAGTAAACAGTTATCATCGGTTAACATTAGGCTGCATTCTATGTACTCCTTTCCTCTCTATCATAATTTTTTCCAGTTCAAGCTTTTTAAAGGCAGTCAGATCATTGAACTGATATTGCCCTTCTGCTTTTAGAACAACTTTTATGAAGGTTACTTCAGAACGTGCTAATCAGAATGTTTTAATTCTTAAAAAATTAATTTTAACCTTTCTAGATTTATCTATGTCCGGGAGTTTGATTAAATCGAATAACTGAAAAATAGTCCTCGTTCTGTTTTTGGCCTCCTGACAATATGGAGAATTGAATTATTCAAAATACATAATACTGCTGGTCTAACAAAACTTAATTAAGTTCAATCGCCATTGTTATAGTTGCGGAAATAATATTTATGTCAAAAATGTTAAGACGGCAATGATATATAAAGCTTATAACAAAAAATTTAAATGAAATGGAATAGAATGAAAGAAACAATTTAAAATAAAAGTGATATTTAGACATAGAAAAAATAAATACATATTTTGTCATATAAATCTAAAAATGTTACATTATTCAATTTTTAAAATGCGTAATAAATATCTATATTTGTTAAACATTGTCAAGGGAGCAAAAAAGTGAGCATTAGATAATAAATATAAATAAAATTAAATTCAACTTTTATATTTTTCCAAACTAATATTTATCAATTCATCCGTTGGATGTTTTTTAATCAAAAGTCTTCAGATCGTAGTCGTTTACTTAACTAATCTAAATTAACAAATTACATTAAATTTGGAAGAAAAATCAACACGGACTTTTGTATTTTTATTTAATTTATTTATTCTTTGCTGTTTATTGTAACACGCAGCACATAGACTGTGTCCAGGTATTGAATAACGGTACCATTGTGATGTATCAGTAACATCGCAAATAAAACATCTACGATCGTCCTTAAATTACTTAATGAGAAATTTGATTTTATGTTATGTTCCATTCAATGCTAATTTTATTAGTTATTTTAATAAAAATTAATTTTGGGTACTATGTTTTTATTTATTTTTCTTCTTCATGTTTCTCCCTTTTCAAAAATATTAGAAATTTTCAAAAGAAAATAAAGCTAGTATCAAACTACTGTATTATCTTAACATACTTGCCCTTCAAATAGAATGGTTCCTTGAATATGATTGAAAATAGATTGCCGATCTATCTATTAGAGATAGATTTATTATTAGAGATAGCTACTTTATGTCGATGTGATTATGAAATTTATTCGTTATGAAATCAAGGGAAAGCGATCTTACATATCTAATAATAGAAAACCTTTTTAGTCTTAATAAACAAGCTTTTATGTCTATGCTTTCCAAATTTTTGATTATAATCACCACATGTATGGCACAAATAGTATTCTTTGAGATATTTCTGCCAAAAAGTTTTAATTTGTTTAACACCACAATTGAAACAACCTCGCCTCTTCTTTTCAATAGTTACTTCTATAAAATTAAAATAAATTGTTATTTACTGAGATGTTTTTAGCTTGATGTGCAGTGGGGATATTCTTATCCTGTCAAATATCATAAATTTTTATTTACCTATTTTATTTCCAATTTCAATAATTTTGGTTTTAAATTCCTTCGGAAATTCAACTTTTTGTTTTTCTAACAATTCAATTTTATATCCAATTAAATTAATTTCCGTCCAATAACTTGATAAAAGTTTGTTTTTGTAATTTTCTATATTTTCATTCAATAATTCTTTTTTATTTATTTTTACTTTTTCTAAACTTTCATCTAATATAGAAGTTTCATAATATTTCTTCTCTTTTTAATAAATTCAGTAAATCTGAGCACCTTCTATGAATAAAATAATATTCAAATTAGTTTCTTAATAATTGACTACCTATTGGAAATACCGCCCTCCTATTTAAGTCTCAGTTATTCTTTTGTTCTTCATTTTTGGATATATTTGGTCAAGTAATAACATTTAGGAATTTCCGTTATGACGTAAATTTAAAATATTTTAAAAGTGTTAAAAATGTAAAATACAATTAACAAGGTGGCAAAAACGTGATTATTTGCTCTAAAATAGTATCGAATGTGTCCAGTTGTCTATTTTTGCATTCCTCATACCAAATAAACTCGCACAGATAAAAGTCCCATGTTGTGTTTTGTTGCGAGCCTTTGCCGATCGGCAAGTGCGCTCCATGGTCTGGGTAGGAGCACAAGACATCT